GCCGCCGGCTGCCAGGAGGGCACGTGGTTGAGCGAGAGGAAGTGGAGCTGCGGATAGGGCACCAGCGTGTGGGCGAGGCTGCGCAGAGAGCTTGGGGCGTAGTTGCCCTGGCGCGTGGGGAATCGCAGAGGGTGCGTGACCTGCATTGGACCGGCAACAAGCAATCAACAGCGGCGCGTGAGTCTGTGGTGAGCTTACCTAGCTATGGGGGACCAACGTACGCCGGCGAAAGCGCGGGCGATGAGGTCGATCGGCTTGGTCGAAGGCCCGCAGAGGCCGCGGACGCGCTAGAAGCATTATTGATTGAAGTATATACTTGTCAGATTCAGCCCACCAGCAGAAAACAGTCTGACGAGCACTAAAGCGAGCGACAAAAAACGCACCTTTTCGCTGACGTAGAAGCACAGATCCGCATTTTCGATCAGATGAGGACGATGTTATCTGCACACCCGCCAATGGGTCAGTATCGTGCGTGTGCGCGTGTGCGTGTGTGCGTGCGGCCAGAGACCGAAGGCCCCAAGAAGGGGTCACACGTACAGGGGTCAAGAGCGTGCGGCATATCGGGAGCGGGGATCACGGACAGCGTCGACAGCAGAGTGTTGGGGTATTCCTCTTGCAGGCGAGACAGGAGCAAGGTCGTGAATCCGCCGCCACAGGCACCTTGAGCCACCCAAACGTTCCAACCAGTCAACATACGTTGTAGCACCACATTCTCGGCATGGTGAGGTGAGGTACCTGCAACGTCGTGGAAGAGCTGGAAGGCTTGGAGCGTGTCGGCGCGCTCGGCCTCCCGCCTGACCAGGTCCAGCACGTCGTCGAGGGACTCGGCGCCCTCCAAGTAGTGGCCTTGCGACCAGCAGCCGTATAGTGTTTTGTCGGTCGTGTGGAAGCAGCTGAGCATGGTGGAAGTGGGACGGCAACCATCGTAAGCACTACCACCACACGCACAGCACCACAACCTCGCACTCCTGCTGCCCTCCCCACCCGCCAAACGCACTTTGACCGGTCGAACAGAACACTGGAGGGATGCTTCGAGGTTCCCCAGCCCTGGTTCTCCAGATCGGCGAAGACAGCGCGGGCCACCACCAACTGATCGGACCGGCCTGTGCGAGAGAACGCGCACATCACAGGAAACGAGGTCTTAGGCGAACGCATCATCAGCATCACCATTATACTCGCTACGCCTCACGTACCGGGATCTGACTCCCTGAAGTGCGAGCCGAGACCGTAGAGCGCGCGTGGTGGTATCTTGTGATTGAGCGTCAGGCCACCGGTTCCCGATGTCGCTGCGGCCGAGGGAACCAGCAGGTCGTGCTCGAGCGCCACCTGCTCCAGGTACGACGCCAGCAGCGCCTCGCCTGCAAAGATACAATAAAATAAAATAAAAATGGCAATAATTCCATAATAGAAATAAATAAATAAATACGAATAAAAAGAAGAAATCAAGTATTGCAAGGGCGCGCACCGATGATGCCGGTGCTGATTTGGATGAGGGGCGATGGACCCAAGGGGCCAACGTTGCGCACAGGCTGCTGCCAGCGCTGGCGAGACAGGAGGCGCCATTGGTGGGCGATGGCGGCAGTGCGCAGGGGCGCAAAGGGCGGCGGTGCCGTGCTGGCCACGGCTCCGGTGTTCGCCTCTAGCGCAGTCTCGCTGCCCAGGGCGAGGGCGCAAAAGGTGCGGCACACCTGGGCGAGCCGCACGACGTCCGCCAGCGGTCCGAACTCCAACTGCTGCAACACGTGCCACCACACCTCCGCCGGAAGCAGCTCCAGCGCATACTTCGCCGGCACCACCTCTTCCCTCCGCCATCATATAATGAAAATAAGTAAATTAATAAATTAAACAAATACACAACAATATTTGTTTTTATTTGGCGAGGCCGAGAGCGCCGCTGCCATCGCCGCTACCGACAAAAACCCGTCG